GTTGGAATGCTTGGAAAGCTCGAGGCTTGTTTAAAGTGCGTAAGCAATAGAGGGTATGCCACGTTTCAAAAACTTATATTACCGGTAACAACGGGGGTAGACTATTTCACACGCGAGGGACTGTTTGAAGCTAAGCAAAATCGTATCGTGATGACTATCTTGTTGTTCATTGTGCACAATTTTCTAGGCAATGCAGAGGGACATGATTTTGTGAAGTGGTGTGAGATGTTTCTCGAATACTACGTAAGCATGTTTCGTGTTGTTAAACACACAAAGCATTCCTTAGACAGATGTGATGCTCTCCTCGAAGAGTTTATGAATTATACAAATATGTGTTTCAGACACCTACAGAAGTCAAATTAAAACATAGTAAAAATGCATGATATGAATAAATTCAGAATGGTTGTAGAACAATCAGGGCTCCCGGACACTTTTGCAGCGGACATTTAGGAGCACAATCACATTCGTTTTTGCAAAGATTCTTATAAAGCATCAAATCGAAGAGATCCTTCAAAGCAAATAGTGGAGCACGTTGTGCGAGCAAATATTTTAGAAGAACATGTATCCGTTGTAAGAAGAAAGAGAAACAGAGAGGAAGAACATTGGTCAGCGGTCTTGGAGGCAGAGAAAACATGTCATAATGTAATTGCCACAACCGACATGGCCGTATTGAGATTGGGGTGGTTTGCACTGAGTGATGACGATATTCTTCGTAGCGTAAGGCCAACATCACCAAAAGCTGCTCGGTTACTGCTAAACCTTCCACAACGACTTCAATTTCAACAATGTTTACGTTCATACGTGACGGAGCAAAACCTCGGTGAAGTTCACGACCACACTGTCATACGTCCCCGACCGCATGTCGCACTTGCTTACACAGACGATGATTTTATTCAAGGAGCAGATGTGCGACTCGCTAGAGCGACAAACTCGTATCATTGTCGTAAGGTACGATATGATGTGAGTGTAAGGGGTCTCGAAAACGACATTTGATACGCTTCTGTGGTAATATTTGTTGTGCTTCAAACCACAAAAGAAGGACAAATGTTGAAGACGGGATGTGCATTTGTTCAGTGGTACAAAGACTGCATAAGGGAACTTCACAAATCGAACATCATGTAAATTGGTGGAATGGGAGAGGAACAGAGGCGTGCAAATTAGTAGCATCATCGATGTAGACACAGTAATTCAACCAGAACATCTTATACCGTACTTCAAACGTGCGACGTTTATTCATGATGTGGACCGAGCAACGATAGAGGAAGGTCTTTTTTTTGTCAACCGGTTCACAACAATTATATAAGACTGTCTCCAAGTTTTGCTCTGCTGGTTTATACGTTGTTGTTATAACATGCACCCTATTCTGCATGTGTAATTTTTGTACAATCGTGACGTCGTTGCCTGAATGAGGTAAAAATAGTGAAATAAATGAGAAGAAAGCAGACGGATTTGTACACAATATACCGTGTCGAAGAACAAGGGTAACAACTGAACCGAAAACTTAAGACGGTGCAAGTGAACCGCAAACATGTATAAGGAATGAGAACAATATGGGAAAAAACAAAGGAGTTGCACGATCGAGAACGTGGAAAGGGAAAGGAGGCAGAACGGGTCGCAAGCACACCACCTCCAATCACGGTCAAGCAATAAAAAAAAAAAGGAATGTCAAAAAGCAAAGTTCAAGGCTGTGTAGAGAAAGCCTCAATGTCGAGAACTGAAGAATCGAAACGCGTCAGGAATTTCACGGCAGCCAAGAAGATGGTACTGTAATTCAGGAAGACATTGACGGGCGAGACGATACAAAGGATGTACCACAGACCTATGATGTCATTGTCGGTAACTGCCTGGAATCTCATACCGTTGCCTATTGCTACTATTTCTCATTCACCAAGAAAATACGATAGAGGGATGTCAGAAAGTGACAGTGAGAAAGAGACATTGCGGGATATGGGGCATGAAAAGAAATTAGCAACACACGATAAATAGTCTTTGAGATTGAGAGAGAAAGCGAAAGGGACGGAAGAGAGAAAGGGATGGGAGGCGGGGAAAGAAGTTATTGAAAAGGTCAATCTAGGAGCAGATGCTATCAAGTTTGTATTCTCACACATGTGCAAGAAGAAAAACCCAAAGAATACAAACGACAGAAGCATCTCCATAACACGTGAAGATCTCACTAGCACAGAGAAGTTGGTGCACACAGTCAGAAAAAATGCAACAGAGAACGATGAAGCAGTGACCACGCCGTGGTTAGAGTCATCTGCAATTGACGAGATAGGAGGAGACTTCCAAGTGAGAGTCACCACAACAAGTCAGCATATGACAACAAAAGATCGAAAAGAGGCAAAGACGAACATCGATGGAGTGGAAACAAATGAACAGCCGACCTTGATGGTGGAATGTGAAATGCATACGAGAATTGAAGTCTAGCATGGTGAGACAGATTGTGCAAGACTTGCTCTCCAACCGACTTCGGGTCTTGTGGAAGGCTTGGTTGACATTGCTGTGGAGGACAAGATAACATTTAACAATATGGAGATATTGTCAAAACACGAAGGAAAGACGTCAGGGGGAAGTAACCCAGAGAGCCCGCAAGAGTTTCAAGGTCAAGATAAAGAGTATGGTGACAAAAAGCAATTGCAACGCATATATAATACAGAAGCGATGGACGAATGTCAATCGGCTCAGAGTGTGCAAAAAACATTTCATTCTGAGGAGAAACACGTGGAGCCAGCACACAACAATCATACGGTTGTAGGGTGTGTTGTGCAAAACTTGTGTGCACCGCGATCGTCGGACATAAAAGAGAAAGCGGAAGCAGTAGTGGGAGAAGGGTCACAACCAATCTGTATGAGACCTGTGGAAGAGAACAATGACGAACAAATGATAGATATGGAAGGGAAGGGGGATCATAGCATTGCAATGCGGTCGGATATAAGGAACAGTGCTTATGACAATGACGATGACCTGAACAAGTCACAAGAGAATGATGAAGGAACCGGGGCAGTGGTGTATTTGGATGCAGACACAGAGGAGGGCGAGGAAACACAATCTATGGACCAGAAGTTAGCGCCAGCAACTGTTGATACAGTTCATGAATATTTCCCGTTCACATGGAACCCCTTGAACAATGATCCATTCACATTAAGAGTACGAAATCTCCAATGTTTGGGAGCGGGCAAGTGGTTGACGACAAATATCGTTGACTTTTACTGCCATTACATATATGACTCACTCGCACCTAAGGCTGTTGACCTCTCACACGTTAAATTTTTGTCCGCACTATGGTACACCGGAATACAGGGGCTCCATAAGAACGCGAGTTTGAGCAGCCCGCCTGATCTGGAAACGATAACACGGAGTTCAAAGTCGAGGGTGAAAAGCATGAGGAGTTTGTGGGAAAATGAAGTAATTATTGTTCCTTTACTATGCAATAACCATTTTACTATTCTCGTGCTCAACAACATAGGATGCATGCTACAACATCCACATCTCGACAAACCAAGAGACTGCGCTATTTTTCACCTAAACTCCAAGAAACGAATGGGCAATCCTCCGTTTGAACCTTTGTTAGCCTATTTCTTTTACGAGCACACGGCGCTACTGTATTCATCTGATGTTGAAGTTACGACCCCGACTATAGAATGGACATGGAAAGCATTGATGCAAGGTGTATCTTTCATCCACGACATTGATTGTCAGCAACAACGGAACTCAAACGATTGCGGCGTATTCGCCTTGAGGAATGTTGAGAGCATTCTTATGTCCATCGCAAACGATGAGGACTTGGAGTTCACGAAAGATACAATGACGAAGGTTTGCGAACGTTTGTCGTCAAGAAATTCTTGTGAGCAACGGCACATAATGATGAAGGCTTTGACAGAGTCAACCCCGCGGATGCGCAACACAGACAACAAGCGACATGTACGCTATTTTCAAGAAGTTCGCATGAAGCAGAAGGAAGACACATATAAAATAATCAAGGACGCAGCTAGGCTACCAGTGTGGCCCGGGGTCACTTGCCCGGCCAGACCAATATAATTAAAAAAAATAAAAATAAATAAAATATTTTTGAATTTTATTTTCTATTTTAAATTTGGTGAAGAATTTCGATATGACCCTTACGCAAAAGTTGTTCAGTTTATTTTTCTGCATAACATGGTGTTTTTTTAGATTTTTTTTTTTTTTTTTCTTTCTTCTTTTTTGCTTGGACCTTACCTGATCCTTGCACGGGCTGGCCACCCGGGACCAGGGCGGCCTGGCTGGTAGCCTAGGGACGCAGTGCAAAAGGTAAGCTAAAAATATGGACATGCAGCAACTCGTAGATTTTGTTAGTCGAAATAAAGAACAACTGCGCAAATAAAGAAAAAGATAACACAAGGAAGGTGTAATATTAAACATAAGTCCACAAATTTATCATTATATATATCATGTGAAAATATTGACTTTTTTAAAGAAAAGTAGGGTCGAGATAAAACAGCGCTGCTCAGATGAAATTTCACTGATGACAAATTTTGAATGTGTTATGTTATGTGTCTCATGCTTCATCACAGAACCGGCGAGTGATATAGAGCGACACAATGAAGCCACCAATGGACAAGCACACATTACGGACTCGCCGAGGCCCAAATGTGACAAGGATATCGACACAACGAATGCTCTGCGTTCGAGAAGAAGAGGTGTCACGACATCAGACGAATGTTGGTGCACATCTCGTACAGGAACGAAACACAATTCGAGATATGACACGACATGCAAAATCTGAAGAAGTGAAGACTGTACGAAAAAAAACGGAGTCTTGAAGGACAAATTTGGTTGAAATGCACCGCGAAGCGAGCAAACGAAAATTACAGATGGAAGAAACGGAGAAGGGAGATAAGGACATTGACATCCGGTGCAGGGAGGAGTCTTCGAAGTATACACCGAAGTCGAAAACGGTACGAAGGAAAACAATGGGTGGTGCAACACCTCTTGCTCCAACTAAGCATGTCACATAAAACAAACGGGACCACAACAAGGGTGAAGCGATTGATGTAGACAGTGCAAAAGTAGGAGGAAACGGTGAGGATATCGAAGGAAGCATGCGTTGTGGTTGTCAGGCGGGCGAGAGCAGTGGAGGGAGACACATTGGAGGTCGCGACATTCAGTACGGGGAGCGACATGTGGAACAAGGTCGACAAGCATCATCGACAGAGTGCGAGGACCAGCAGCTGGAACAAAACGAACCAAATACGAAAGAGGACGAATCAGAGGACGAGAACAACAGAGACAGCGACGATTTTGGTAAACGTGAATCGAATGAAGATGAGGTAGATGATAATGAAGAGATTCGTGAAGACGATGACGAGAATGACGCACACTGCAGGAACGAGAAAGCAATAGGTAAAACATTTTGTGAAATCCTGTGAAGTTGTTTGAAGCATTTAAAAAATATGGAATAAAAAGAGAACAACATTCAAAATGATTCTCGTATATGCATTCTCGCTTACGATTTGTACGTTCTTAACGAACATGTAAAAGTCATCGTCATTATAATTGTATTCTCAATTTTTTTTTTCTCTTTGTTTGCTCGTCCTCTGTGTCTGTGCAGTTATGCGAGGACGCGAAAAACGGGATGCGTCAGAGAAAAGAAAGGTCAACAACCGCATTAGTGACAACATCCACACGTTATATGCGCACTCCAAAATAGTGAAGCAATTGATGCGTTGCGTAGCGAAGGCCTTTTGTTTATCTCAAGCCAAGGATGCAGAGATGTATCCGCCAGTCGATACATATGTGGATGCCTTCATGGGTCTCACCGAATCTTTGGACCCGGATACACGATTCGTCGTAGATCAGTCGATGAAGAGCACAACACCGACAACACTTCGCACAAAGGGATCAAGGGAGTTGACGAACATCAGAGGAGAGATCACTTACGACATCGTCAGGGCTTTTTGGAGCGCCTCGTGGCTGCCTTATCCATGCGGAACTGTGAAAGATCGTTTTGAAAAAGAGCGAGAAGAGATGCGGACGAAAATGGTTGAAGATTCATCATGGAGAGTGAGAGGCGAAGCGCCATGGGGCGCAACTGAGTTTAAGAATGCAATGTGAGAAGTTTTATACAGAGATTGGAATGAAATAGGTCGAAATGGTTACACTCTTCAATAACTCGCATTCGCTCATATGGTGTTAGATTGTCACATCAGCAACAAAAGTCGGCATGCAAGCACGGCAGCAGCAAGCAAGGAAATGCAAAGGATAGAAAAAACCATCATGACAACTTACAAGACCGGTATCGAAACAGTGATTATAAATGTAATCTCTCTTCATCGAGATAAAACTGTTGTGCAAAGTTCTAAGAATATTTGGGAACGACAATTTGCTGGCAGAAAGAATGCAAAATATGAGGTCGTTCAAATGAAGAATGATCACAAAATTTTGGAATTTTTTGAAGATAGTGACGAGGTGATTGCTGAGGAGAGGCCTTAGAAGGTTTGTAACATCAATATTTTAGAATTTCCATATAGTACTTTGATTTGGTGTACAACAAGGTGGTGGTGAAGAGGTCGTGAGACTTGAATATGATATCGTGGACTATTGTGTGTCTGTGTCTGTGTGTGTGTATGTGTGTGTGTGTGTGTGTGTGTGTGTGTGTGTGTGTGTGTGTGAGAGAGAGAGAGAGAGAGAGAGAGAGAGAGAGGGAGAGAGAGAGAGAGAGA